CACAGTACTCACCTCACCTTTTTTCTACCTTTGTGTTTGTCTCTTACATCTTTGAAACACTCTTCTGTTCCCACCCTCTCGATTTTTTTTCAATTTAATGTTCCTTCCTCTCTGTGAAGTCTGAAGTCAACTAAAGGGCTAATGATAACCATCAAGACCCCTGCCATTTGATATAAATAAATAAATATTTCATCAATAGTTATTCTAAATTGTGGCAAAATTGATTGCAACTAAATGCTTTTAATTTTGACTAATTTAATTATTAGGTTGAGATAAGAAACTTCGCCTATTCATGGTAGGAAAGGGAAGGCATTTGAGGCTAGCATTCAGGTTGACGCCAAAAAATGTAACCGTGGTTGCGATGACAAAGTTCTTGCGCCCTTCCACACACAAAATTGTTGCAAATACGCAGTTTCGGGTTATTTTGTCACCAGTCGTGCACAAATGGGTATTTGGTCTACATTTTTTTTCGCACAACTTGTAAGAAGAAATTGGCGTGCACATTTTTTTGCCTAATATTTTGTTGAATAGATGAGATATTTCAACGCTCTTTTGGCTCCTAAATTTCTAAATTGGCCAGAAAAACTATTTTGAGATTATTATTTTGAATGGGTGATTGTGTTCTTATTATTTTGATACGTGACACAGTGTTCAAGGCCAACGCACCTTGGTGCACACAAGTAACGCTTACAACTGGTGCTTGAGATGTCCATAATACTAAACTGTTCAACATTTAATTAATTTCAAATGGCAGGCATTTTGTTAATTAATATTAGCCCTTTAGCTGACTTCAGGCTCCACAGAGGAGGAGGGGAACATCAAAGCGACAAAAAGTCGAGAGGGGGAGGGGACAGAATGAGGATTCACAGATGTAAAAGAGACAGACAGGCACAAATGTTGAGTAAAAGGTAAGGCGAGATCTGCTGAAATGGTGGAATATGGCATACAGTGTGGTGATGGCAGTTTGAAGTGAGAAGTCAACTGCCAGTTAATAGACTTTTTTGCCGTATGAGTATACGTTGCCCAGGGTGCACCACGTGGAGGTAAGTCTATCATACACCCCAAACCTGTTCAACATGAAATATGGGAGGATTCTGAAATGGAAGCTAAAAGAGGAGCATGTATCAGAGCTGCAAATGTCAATAACGCACTAAAGGAAAGCCCTTTAAACTACAACTACTACTGAAGTTCTCTTTCTTCGGAACTAATCGGAATTGGGTCTAGACGGTGAAAGAGGCTACGAGGAAAATAAGACGGAAAGAAAATCTCTCATGAAGCGGACATCAGGTACACATCCGTTTCACAAAGGTCTCGAAAGTATTGGTAAATTTTTCAGGTACCTGAAAGGTCAAACATGTGAAAATCGATTTCCTCACAAGTTTTCACCTTTGATGACTACAATTTTGGTGCTTTAATACTTCCACTTTTCTGTAAATGTAAAATTGAAATTCTATTTCACCTTCCTGTCTAATCGTGCCCTAATACGAACACCACTGTTTACACAGAGCAAAATCTTCTGTATTAAATTTTCTATTCACCGAAAATGAGACGGCCTTTTGAGCACAAGGTCTTGGTTAATAACTTTAAAAATCAATTTTCATACTGGTGTACTCTGTTAAGATCACTTTGATAAGCTCTTCAGACACCAAAAATGCATACATGCTGAAAATAGCCAAATATTTGGTCATAAGGAACTGCTTTACTTTAGTTGGGGCTCATTTTAAATGGGATATTTTGAATGCTTCTGAAATTGTCTTCCAAACAACTTTATGCATATGTCTGTTTTTTTTTGTATTGCTTGCTAGACATCACACTTAAAAGCCTCTACTACTTTTTTTAATAAAGTTGGGTTTTATGTTGCACCAACAACTACAAAGAAGTCGTCTAACTGGCATCGCAAATAAATGATGATAAATTAGTTTTAAATTCTAAAGTGATTCCAGAGCAACGTCTCTGTAATTACGCCTTCATCACAATAGCGTCAGGTGACAACAAAATGACGTGGGTTTGGCGTAGCAGCGAAAGAGCAGCCATTTCAGAGAGTTTACCTTCAGTGGGTCCAATTCGATCGCAATTTCTACTTCTCTTTTACCCATGTGGCAATCGTATCCCATCACATACAGAAAAATCAATAACCACGAAAGTTAAAATTTGATTTTAAGTGAAAAAAACAGCATTTCGAGGAACAAGATAATTTTAACAATGATAATGAACAACATGAGCAAAGTAGGAATTCTTTACAATTTAAATATTCAGAACATTAATAAGTAATCGCGTATATTAAAAAATTGATTTTCGCATTTACTTTGTGTCCATGTGTGGTGAAGACGACAATTCGGAGAGTTTTTTTTACTTCGTGCTCAACATTGTTTATGAGCAATAATTATCAAGTTATTGCTAAGGCTTTTGCGGTTAGGATTCCTGGCTCTCACCCAGGCGGCCCGGGTTCAACTCCCGCTCAGGGAGTCTGCTTTGGAGTGTGCGGTGGACTTACCTCCACGTGGTGCACCCTGGGCAACATATGCCCATACGGCAAACAAGTCTATAACTGGCAGTTGACTTCTCACTTCAAACTACCATCACCTCATTGTATGTCATATTCGACTCCTTCCACAGTACTCAACTCACCTTTTTCTCTACCTTGGTGTCTATCTGTCTCTTTTACAACTGTGATTCACTATTCTATCCTCCCTATCTCGACTTGTTGTCACTTTGGTGTCCCTCCTCCTCTCTGTGAAGCCTGGAGTCAGCTGAAGGGCTAATGATAACCATCAAAACGCCTGCCACTTGGAAAAAAAGTACCCAACACCAAAGCGGTCAGAGAACACACAAGACGTTGCACACTTGAATGTCCTCTAAGTCTCTCAGGTCATTGGTGAGTTAAAAGCCCAAAGTCAAATTTGAACTAACAGGTTGCAGTCAGACAGGATACACATTTGAATGAAGCACCAATATGAGGATAACCCGCCAAATTTTGATGATGACGAATTAAACACCCTGGCTGATCTGATATTCGGAGGGATTAATTGAGCTGAAATTTTGGTGCCACCACATCACCTCTCCCGTCGGAATAGCGAAGATAAACACAAGTATTTCTGCCACTTTTTTTTTCTAGACGCAAAATCCGCACGCTTTAAGTCAAATTGTTGCTGGAGGCGATAAGTGGATCGTTTCCCAGAGCATCGGTGGGACAAATAGCCCTCGTCTTCAAATCAAACATCCGCCCCCCCATCCCCCTAAGCTCTGGGGTTGAACTCTCGGAAATTAAATTATGCATTTGGTGGGGGTGTATGTGGAGTAACCCCCGCGCGAATAGCTTAAACCGAGCAGAACCGCTATATAGTTGAAGTCTATTGCCAAAAAATTGGAAGACTAAATCTGAAATTAGAAGGCAAGTGCCTGTGTGCGTGTTTCAGGAAAGGAATAATTCCTCAACTGCTACTTTCCTCATTTTCCCACTATCAACTTTTCCGGATAAATGGAGTGTAATTTGGCCGAAAAAATGATTGTGAAATGCGATTGAAGTGGGTAACCACCTGAACGAGTATCTTCAATAAACATCAAAGCCTTCGAAAGGAGCATCGGTAAATCACAAGAGCGGTTGAAAGGAGTTGCTAATGACGGCGATGGGTGCGTGTACTCACGTGTACTCATAAAAAGGCCTTTAGACCGGCTGTTGATTTCTGACTTCAAGCTACCATGACCCGAGTGCTTGTCATATTCTACCACTTTCCCAATGCTCACCTAACCCTCTTCTCTACTTTATCTGTCTGTCACTTTTACACCGTTGAATCACTCTTCCCCCCCCCTTGAATTTTTCTCACTTTGATGTTCCTTCTCCTCTCTGTGAAGTCAGAAGTAAACTAAAGGCATAATGATAGCTATCACATCATATAAATACTATGCATGACGTAAAAATAAATAGCATTTAATGTTTTTTAAATTGAACGATTTCTTAATGATGTCCTGATGATGTGAAATGACATTCAACCACCACCACCCCCACCACCACCATCCCACCCAAATCAATCATTTATTAATTTACCTGATGAATTGATGTCTGACGCTTACAAGATTTCACTCAATCAGATCCTTATTGGCTATTTTTGAGGAGTTACGCGCGAAGTGCACTTTAGAAGAAATGTTGGGAATCTCCCCCAAGAAGGAATTTTTTATATTTGAATCAAAGAGTTGACGCCCTCTTCAGACAACGTGTGAACTTGCAAACTCTCACAACTATCACCACCTTCGAAAATCACAATTCTTTAGGATGCAAATGCGCAATCGAAAGCAAAATTACTATCTATTTCTCTAGTGCATGTTGGCAACGTTAACTCAATCACTTACGTGTATATTTTAATACAAATAGTACTCAGCATGAGATGCATTTAACTTCGCCAAGGTACCTTGTACGCGCACAAGCTGTGAGACACGAGGAATTGAATGAATCACTCTTGCCTACGAGAGTTACAATTACAAAGCGCTCTGCGTGCAGACAAAGACATGGGAGGAAAGGAGCTCTTGTCAGACCACTAATAACTTCCCGTTGGGAGGCTCCAATACCAAAATTTGGCCTCGTAAAGTCAAAAAAAGTCAATAGATAAAGAGCATCACTGCATCTCTCACGCGAATGACATTTCGTCATCGCCCGGGGCATGAAGTTTCAAAATTTGAATGTGGCGGTTTTCTCGAATACGCGTGCGATCTAGATGATTTACTCTAAGTTTCTACAATATACCCAGAGAGCATATTTTACGCCGAAATTATATAGAACACCAATATTATAGCGTTGATTATCAAATGCCCTTTTGACCTCTGTAAATTGCCTTAGGTCGCAGATTCAAGCACAATCTGAGAAGGCAGAAAATGAGGGGGGAACTGGTATAATTAGTAGTGCACATACAAATATCCCGCTTTTACATACTTCTTCACGAATCATTATTAAAAAATAGTCCTAAAATCATAATTTGAACTAAACATTCGACCACACTTTCCTCCATTCAAGCTGTGATTGGCTTCTGGTCAGTGGTTTGAGGACAAGTGTGCAGATAATTTTGGGCACTCCGAAGAGCCGTCATAGGAATGGCGAGGCCTTTGTTCTCTCGGTAATGTGTAAGAATATCACGATCAAGTGGACAAGTCACCGTAAAACTGGTAGTTCCGTACATACCTCGAACGTAATTCCAAATAGCAGTTAGTTCTAGTGGAATGTCCCATTGTTTGCAGGCCCTTAGAAGAACTCTCATAACTTGAAGTTTGGGCATTAACATACAATCAGCGAAACTTAGTTGATCTCCCAGAAGATACTTAGTATTTCGGGTTTGGAGATAATCCTCCAATTTTTTCAAGGCATTGAGCAATGGGGTTTCTGAGTTATTTCGGACGAAGTTAAGGACATTTTTGTAGACATCGATAAACGAATTCGTCGCTTCAAGAACTGCCTCAGATTCAAAAGGGAGAACAAGCTGAGGGCACTGAAATTTCGCAAGAAGGGCTTCCAATTCATCGGGAGTTGAAGCCGCCAACTGGAAGTCAGGAAGGAAGGCTGCTGGAAGACGTTTAGAGCAATGAAGGCATTTATAGTCCTCAGGTTCGTTGTCATAGGAGATAGGAACAACCTCGAGTCTAATTAGGTCCATTTCAAACATGTAGCGAAATACCATAAGCCACTGGTGACAAATCATGCATGCTCCAATTGTGTTCCGATCGGTTATTGAGGCACGAACGAAGAGGCGAACTTCAGGATGATCCCGAAGACTTCTTAGATTCTTCTGAAATTCTGCAGTCTGAACCACACATAAAATAAAATCAGATATGACGAACTTCAAAAATAAGGCAAGTGTAAATCTAACTAAAGACGAAAAATACAATGAATACGGCGAAAAGAGCAACGATCAATGTCGTAGCATGGAAAATGTCACTATTTTAGAGATGGAAATGCGAACTTATTTGCCAATTTAATGAAATTAAAGAAAACAAATTTTTTTAAATAATGTAACCTGAAGATATGATATGATACATTGAAACTCAACTTAGTATACAAAAATTGGCGAAGTTTAACAGTCAAGCACATAAACCAGTGAGCAAATAGGGGAATAAGGGGGATATTTGCTGTTAACATACATAAAAGCAAATTTAATTTGAAATCAAACCATTCAAATTCGAAAAAATAGGTAAAAGTACTAAATTAAAAAACAGCCATTTCTCATTCACGCTTTAAGCTATCATGTAGGTCTCAGACATCTAAAAGATGTTCAAATGCAACATCAATAATTAAAATAAAGTGATACGGCATTAGGTTTAAAGAGAATCCATTTGGCAAAGTATACATTTTTAAAATAAAGAATACCGGAGAGAAAAATTACGAATAAAAGGCAAATCTGGGGTTCTTAAATAAATGTCAATAAGAAGACAAAAATCAACTTCAAATAAGCATATAAGAAAGATTGCTGTGAAATAGGGAAGCAAAGTATTTTCAGGTTTAAAGTTAAACGAAATATATGAAAAAAAATCAACGACACTTATTCGTAAATAATAAAAAGGTGCTACATCTTACTTACCGAAACCGACATCAAATCGAGATAACACTCAAGAAAAAAGAAGCGAATGAATGGAACGACCTTGAGAGACAGCGATAATTTCGTAAGAACCAAGTTTCTATGTCGACAAGACTTAATTAGCTCACTTAAATTAAACACAGTTGGTACAATATTGTATATTAATGAAAATATTTTGAATTCATATTAATATTTCATTAATAATTAAAATGCTTCCTTAGAGCAAAAGAACTATTGCTCAAGTTTTTGTTTAAAAATAGACCTAACCATAGGTTAACGTAGAGTTAATCTTGACATATTTTGAAAGTTTTATCAGCAAGCTGTAAAGTGATCATAATTTAATATATTTATGTTTTAGTAAATTTTAAGTTATATATTTTCACCATTATATAAAGACTAGTTTAAGAAATATCCCATTTGAATAATATGCATAAATCACCCTTGATAGCACAGAGGGATACTACCGTCTGAACTTTCCTTAATATAAGTGCGTCCACCGCAATTTGATTATATGATTTATTCATGTAATATTTGTTATTATTATCTATAAAAGAGCAAAATGCATATTTTTTCACCATGGAGATTGACTAAACAAAGGAGGTGATTTAAATCACACAAGTAATAAGATTACTTTTTGAGAGGCCAGATGCAGTATGGCCTCTGAAATTTTCAGTTCTCTGCTCTCTATTTCCAATTATTATCCATTAAGTTATGCCTTATCATCGCCACAATGACAGGTTCTTAAGTGATTTCGTATTCACTACCTTTTCTCATAACTCTTGTTGTAACCTCACAAAGAACAATGAATTATTTCTAGTTATGGAACAATTCCGTTTCACTGGTGTCTTCTTATCGCACATGCGTTTCAGTTGTAGTAGATATCCTAGTGAGCACAAATAGATTTCTTTTTAGAATTCTGAATTCAAACAGAAATTTCCTTTTCGCCGAATACCTGTTTCAGCTCGAAATTGAGCAGTTTTAGTTAGCTCTCCTTATGATAATCTTTTGAGTAATTGGAAATTTTATAAAATTTTTTTAAACCTCATAATACAGTTTGAGCAGACTTAGACAGAGGTTTAATCTGCGCTTCTCCAATATAGCAGTCAGTTTTCTTAGAAGAATTTATTCTACCAGTACTTCAACTCATTTGATGTCTGCTGAACAGGCTTAGCGCAATCTGCTGAGGTGTGCTCTAAACAGGCTTTCACTTATCATCAAACACCTTTCGATAGAAAATATTGGGCACATCGTAAAGGCAATAGGCTAGACGAGTGTTTCAAACAGTTTTGCTTGACTTTTAATCGAAGGCGCTGTCGATCTATGAACTTTCCTGAGCATGATAGTAAATCTGTTAGGTCGTTATCAATCACAAGAAGACCAAGATACGTTTATTTGATGAAGCTACGCCTAATCAGATCGTGGCCATATATATATTTCACGTGTTCCAGTGGCAGGGGTGTGCGATAGACTTACCTCCACGTGGTGCCCCCTGGCACGTATACTCATGCGGCAAAAACGTCTATTAACCGGCAGTTGACTTCTGACTCCAAACTACCA